CCCCCCCCTGCCGGCCCTTGCCCAGCATGCAGTTCTGGGCTCCTTCCTGTAACGGGCAGGGAAACCCCCTTCTTGCTCTGTGCATGGGGATTCCTCATTTCTCCTCAGAACCTCCAAATCAGAAGCGTTCCTAGCAAGCGGTGGTCTCTGGACAAGGGTGTGGCAGCCTGGTCCAGCCTTCTACTCTTGGGCCCCACTTAGCCAGAGGCTGCTGGGTTGGTAACTGCATGATGGTTGTCTTGCTGCAGTCACTGCTTATGCATCTGGAGGGTCCCTGGCAGGAGAAAGGGAATAGCTGCACAGAGTGAGGAAGAGTCACTTTAACCCATGCTCAGAACAGAACTGGGCATGGAGGCTGCTTCCTTGGAGCTCCCATGAGTATCCTGCAGGTTGAGCCTCCAGGACCCACTGCATTTAGAACTGCCACAACAGTGCACGCTGCAGAGCTCGCTGCCTGGAGACAGGAGCAGGTGGCTTCTGTTGAACGAGAGCTTGGAAAGAGGTTCTGCCTGAGACAGCTTTTTATGGTGAGCGTGGAATCGAAGGGGGGACTTTAAATGTAACTGGCTCCTTTTCTTTCCCAGCGCTGGCTGATCCCAGCAGCTATTACCTGTCGTGTGTCTGGAGTTTCATCTCCCTGAAATGGGCTTTCCTGCTCAGCTTATATTCACACCGGTACCGGAATGAGTTTGCAGACATCAGCATCCTCAGTGACTTCTGAAGCATGGACTCGGTCCTGACGGCAGCTCCTAATGTTTGACCGAGCCTATGGATGCCCTGTCTGGCAAGGAGGCTGTGAGAGGCAGAGAGCAGGAGCAGCCCAGCACCATATGACTTGTCTGTCTGCAGTAGGGTTTTTCCTAATTGCTTTTATTCAACCACTTAATTTGGCTAATTATGTCAACCTAGTGTTTTTTTACCCTCCAGGGAGTCCATGTGTCTGCCAGTGAGTCAGGAAGTTCCAGGCACTCACATGCAGCTGGCCTCAATTTGCTATCTGCCGTACTCTGCTATCGTAGTCCAGTGACTTTCAAAGAGGACAGTTGCAGGTTAGGCTGTGGAGGCAGCACCTGGTTAAGAATTGGGCGTCCAATGAATCACCAGCATGTTCCTGGGGTTGCTTAGCAGGGGGCAATGCCATGTGACAGGAGATCTTTGTTCTCGCAAGGCATTTGAGCAAGGGCTGCATGTTTCCCAGCACTGGGGACGACAAACGTGCTGATACCTCCAAGGCAGCCCCCCAAACCTTCAACATTTCCTTGTGTTTCTTCCTGTAAAGAGTTGGGCTAAGAGGAAGGCATGGTGCCAGCTCTCCCCACTCACTAGAGCGCACACATCGCCTCGTGCAGGCCAGAAGCAAGCAGTGAGCTGTGCAGCGTCAGTCGTATCAAAGGGGGGTCACGGCCTGTGAAAACCAGGCCTGGAGGAATCAATGCCAGCTCAGCATTGCACCCTGGGCCAGTGTGCTGCATGGCAACCCAGGATCGTGCTCAAAGCAGCAGCACTCGAGAGTGTGGGATGTTGAAAGTGACATGTGGGCAGTGGGTGCGCTGGGCAAAGGGTCTCAGAAGAGTCATGGATGAGTGATTTGTTATTTTAAAGCAGTCTGCCCCTTAGTGGTTGTGAAGCATTTGGAGGGCACTGTATGCACTTATTCTATCTGCCCTGTCACTATGGCCCATTGGTGCTGAGTGGCTCCAGCTAGCGTGGGGGAGAGAAGCAAGAGCTCAGCATGTCTGTGCATCCAGCAAAGGCCTGACCAGCCATGGCTGGCTGCCGCTCCGTGGAGGTGGCTACTGCCTGCTGTAGGCCACCAGCAGTTTGCCTGGGTTGTGAAAGTTCTGCAGACATAAGATAATGCCCCCTCCCTGCTGACCTAAGGCAGGTGAAATTGCTGGTGGCAAACGGGTTGCAGGAGCACAGCAGAGGCTGGGTGCAACCCTGGCACTTCTGCAGGTTTGAAAGTCCAGCAGATCTCCATGGCAAGTGTTACCAGCATAATGCTCTGAATTGATGCCCAGGAACATCACGGGGCCTGCTGAAGGAGTGTCCTACGGAATGTCAGGGAAGTGTCGGGAGGCCCGAGCACAGTGTCAGCTCCTGTGTGACACGGATCACTTGGACACTTAATGATCTTTCACTCTTGGGTTTGGGCCTTGTTAATATTCACCCTGGGAAGCTGCAAACCGCAGGCTGTTGCTTGCTTTCCTTCCCTTGCTCAAGCACATGCTTTCAGGCCAGGGCGGCCCTTGGGTTGCTTTGCAGGGGGTGTCTCAGCAGGTTGCAGCTGGGAGTTCCTTTTCAATAAATGAAAATAGCAGGTGTGTGAGAGTGTTTCTTTGGTGCAAGTGGGTGGGGGCAGGGCAGAGGCACAAGGAACTCCAAGGCCTGGCAAGTGGAGAAGTGTCAAAGAATTGGGCTTGACTGCCCCATTATATGTGTCTGCTCCCAGGTCCAGTTGTGAAGTCACTCCTGAGATGGGCTCCAAGAGCTCCTCAGCAAGCCAGAGCAGGGAGCGTGCAGAGGAAACGGCCTAGGGGCAGTGAGTAGGCCGTGGAGCAGGTGGGCTGCAGCCGTACCTGTCTGTGCTGTCAGGCCAGCTGTGCTGTAAGGCAGACTTGGTTCTCTGTGCTGCTGTCTGTGCAGTTGTCCACTGAGCAGCTTGCAGTGTCCAATGTAATGTGTGTCTCGCCTTGACATGCCTAACTCAGCTGAATTTCCCAGAAAGTTGTAGTGCCCCTGCCCCCACCGCCACTGCCCTGGCACGGAAGATCAGTACTTCGAGCACTTGGCTGGGTTAATTTTTGGTTAAAGGGTTTTTCGGGCTTTGATTAGATGTAAACCGCTTTCTGTTGGTGGGGCAGAGACCCTACCCACTGACATCAGCCCCAGAGCAGCTTCCAGGGAATGCAAGGAGTGAAGGGCAGGGCAGCAAATGCTGGAGAGACAGGGCCACTGGAAATCCTGAGACCTGCAGGAATGTCCATTGCTGCAGCACTGAAATATCATTGAGGGTGATGTTGGCAACAGGCAGGGTAAGACACCTGGCTGGAGTAGAATGCATGGCCCTGCCCTTATGAGCAAATCTGGCAAGGCAGGGAGGAGGTCGCCTGTGTGTTAGACATCAGAGTTTCCAAGTGGTTTTAAGCTGTAGTAGCATTAGTCTCCCAACTAACAGCTCATGTAGTCCTGCTCCTGAGCACGAAACGCTGCTGATCTCCAACTCAGAGGTTCATCATGACCCTAATGTTACTCTAAAAGTGGAACTGCACCTCCAGTCACTTACTAAATTATCCAGTAGAGAGAGTTTACTCGCCGTGCCTGTTGGCAAAGCCCTTCCATCTAAACTGTATGGGCACCTGCTAGCAGTGTGCCAGGGACTCCTCTCTCAGGTTTATACCCAAAAGGTCCACAGCAGCTCACCCCGAGGTTGTGGGGGATATTTTGTGAGACAGTAACTTTGCTTACAAACAGCCCACTTACTCAGCCCGTCTCCTCCACTGCCTTTGCGCTACAATTTGCACTCGCGTCACGGCTTTTTAAAAGATTGTGTGTGTAAATATATATTTTTACATTGTGTTCATGCTTTGTTTGCACGCTTGGTAAGAATTGGGTCATGTAGCAGAGTGTAATTCATGGGGTAGGGTTCATTTTCATGTATCCCAGCGTGTCCGACGTTGTACTAACCGCACTGTAACTTTGTATGTCACACCATCGTAAGAGCTGAAATACAGAGTTCTCTTTCTCACCAGCCAGTGTGTCCAGAGTGATTACCTGCCCCTGGGCTTGACTCCCTCTCCGGCAGGTTTGCAGAAGTTGCTTTTAAAATGGGCTTTACAAGGAATTTCGAACAGTTGAAATTCCTGTGGATGGGCCTTGGATCGCAAACGGTGAATTTGATCACCTGCACTCAGCTCCCCATCCAGGCTTGCACTCCGCACAGCCTTGTGTGGCAGACGCAGCTCTGCAGAGTGAGCACAGGGACGCAGTCTGCAGCCACAAGGCCCTCAGCACACTCCCAAAGTGGGCGCTCAGGCTTTGACACCCCCCTCCGCCTCAGGCTTCAGCCTGAGCTGCCATCAGGGTGCTGGCGCCGTGGCTACTATACAAGCGCCGGGGTGAGCGCTGTGAAGCCGCGTCTGCCACGCCAGCCCCAAAGCTGTGGACGAGGCCCAAGCGACGTGTCCCATGTCAGACACGTTGCATCTAATGGGCATGAAGAGAAGTTACCCCCTGAGGTAGTCACAGTCTCTGCCTTGGGCAGGGCTGCTACTTTGGCTTGTGCATGTTCAGCTGCTCAGTCCTCAGCACGTAGCCCAGCCTCCGCAACCTTGGCCAGCGCGTCGGCTACAGCACTGTCTCCAGCAGCAGTAAGGCTGCAGGCACTCCAGCCTTAACCTGCCCCAAGTGCCCGCAGAGCAAAGGTGCAGCATGTCCTGACTGGTGTAGCAAGGGGAGCACAGCCCAGCATCCCCCAGCCTGCCACCCCTTCCAGTGTAACCTGGGGAGCTAGTGTTTGCTTCTTAGAACTGCAGCTTTGCATGGGGAAAGGACAGTGGCAGTTAAGACGGGCGGGGCCAATTGGCTGCTGCTGGAGGAGGGAAGGCTGGATTCCACGCTAATGTCACTGCTGCACCGCTATGCAGCCTGGCCATCAGTTTGTCTGCAGAATCCAAAACCCAGCAGTCCTTTCAATTGTGTTCACTGCATGTCTTTACATATGCCCAGAGCCTTGGAAAGGATGACAAATCCACTGCCCCAGTGTCCCTCTTTGGAAGGAAACCCACCGTGCTGCCCCCCGGATGCTCGTCGGAGAGCAGTGCAGCTGCTGTTGCTTTCTTACAGTTTCACTTACCCTGAAATTGAGGCTCCAGAGATCGGTCTCCTGGGATTCGATTTAGCAGGTGCAGTACAGACCCGCTAAATCGACCAGTGATGGCACCCCTGTGGCCCCAGTACTCCACCAGATTGCAAAGAGTAAGGGAGTTTCTCCCATTTATCTCCCGCAGTGGGGATGCTACAGAAATTCGACTCGAGGTGTGTCGACTTCAGCAATGTTGTTCTCTAGCTGGTGATACATATCTTAAGTCAACTTTCTCCCCTAGTGTAGCCCTGGCCTTAGACAAGGCCTCAGTGCAGCAGGAAGGCTTCAAGAGCTTGGCAGGGTTCTTACAAGGAGCTTCTCTGGCTCACGAGGCCATCCCACCCTGGGAGGGTGCAATGTGCAGGAGAAGCTTTGGTGGTGCTGGTGGAGTGCTGGCTGCCACGGGCTGGGTGCCGTAAAATGGTCCAGTGGGAGTTACACCTTCCTGTGCAACACCAAGTGCTACAACACCTCTTGTAGCCAGTGCTGGGCAAAATGGTCCCTGCTCTGATCACCTCTGAGTTTCTAGGCTCTGGAACGGTCTCAAATCCTTTTCATCCTCTTCTACACCCTTTACTGTCTTATCAGCTTGGCCAGAGCCTGCTGCCAGCCTTTGTTAAACCATGTCTGTCGCTGCTAAGAACCAGGGCAGTTCTTGTTTCTAGTTTCCATTGACCATCCTGACCCTTGAATTGAGAGGTGCCCAGGGGAAAACTGGCCCAACTTGTGGGCATTGCCTTTGCAAGCTCCCCTCATTCCTATCCCTGGTTTAATTCACACACTCCACTGATGATCTTAGACCTCCTTGCTATTCTATTGTTGCAGTCCTGACTGCCAGTCCTGGGATTCCTATAAGGGAGAGCTATCCCTCAATCCTGACCTGCAGCTCTTCCCCTTCTAGCCCTGGATTCCTTATGCATACACCGGTCCCTCTGTACTGGCCTGTTGCATCGTTGCCCCTCCCAATGCTGATAGAACTTTATGGCTTCACCAATATTGGTGGTGAATTCCCTTTGCTTGCTAATAGCAGCCCCTTTGAAATGAAGGCTTGGTCAGGTTTTTCACTTAAAATAGGAAGTCACCATCTTTATGTGAAGAGAAGAGTCTAGCCTCAATTTGGAGCAAATAATCGGTGGTTAAAGACAATTTTTAGGGATGTTCACTAGCACAGGGATAGGTAACTTTATGGTAGCAGGACACAAACTTCATTAAAACCCTTTGGCAAGAGGGGGTAGGGCTGTGGGTGCTCTACATGAAGAACGTGGAATCCCAGAACTGGTAGGAACCTCAAGAAGTCATCAAGTCCAGACCCCTGCCCTTACAGCAGGACCAAGCACCCACCCTGGCAGATGTTTAGCCAACCTGCTCTTAAAATCTATGATGGAGATTCTACAACCTCCCTACCTCCCTATGCAGTTGATTGAGAATATTAGCCACCCTGACCACTAGGAATTTTTTGGAAACCTCCCTTGCCGCAATTAAATTCACTACTGTTTGTCCTATCCTCAGAGGTTAAGGAGAATAATTTTTCTCCCTCCTTGTAACAAACTTTTAGATACTGGAAATAAGTTATGTCCCTCTGTCTTCTCTTTTCAAGACTAAGGCCAGGTCTGCACTAGGCCTGAAAGCTGGGCTTAAGGTATGCAACTCAGGTTACATAACATTTGTAGCTGGTGTCATCTTATCCGAAGCTGAGCGTGGCACCGTCTTCACAGAGGGAGGCTGATGGGAGCAAATGCTCCCATCAGCTTCCCATATCCCTCATGGCCACGAGGAGTACGGGTGCTGGCCAGAGCTGCCCTCAGCAGTCAATTTACAGATAGCAACTGGACCTGCTAAATCGAACTCCAGAAGAGCGATCTCAGGTGCAGCAAGTGAAGATGGGCCGTAAATAATCCCAGTTCTTTCAGTTTTCCCTCAGTCAGGCTTTCATGATCTTTAATCCTTTTTGTGGCTCTTCTCTCGTCTTTCTGCCATTTTTCCACATCTCTCTCTCAGCTTTCAAGTTTGCCTGCATGTGGTGCATTCCCTCCTGTGCTAATCACACTGAGCTGGTGGGGTGACCAGGATGTGGGACACCTACAGTTTGTCGTACATTCTGGTGGGACTGACAGACGAGGCTGGGTTTTTGCTGTCACTTGTTTTCAAAGCTGTTTGCTCCATCTGTGAAGTAAATGAAAGTTGTTTTTTAAAGAAAACTGGACAACTCGCACTGAGCTCAGCACAGGACTAACAATCTCCTGGGGTCACGATCTCCTGGCCACGGAGATGAGGCACTGCAGTGCCGGTTACTCCACATGGAGCAGCCCCCAGAAGGGTCACAAGCTTTCCCAACAGGTTGCACGAGTATTTGCAGCACAATGCTGGGAATCAGCACTCCTGGGTCCCAGCTCTGAGGAGACAGTGAGGCCTCCTGGGATAGAACAGGGATTGGGGGTCTAGGTTCTATTTGGGGCTCTGGGAGGGGAGTAAAGCCTAATGATTGGGGTGGGGGGTACTACGGGAATCAGGAATGGTTGGATTTTTTCCTGCCTGGCTGAAGGCAATGATGGGTTTAAGCTGCAACAATACAATACAGCCAGGCACCTGGAGTGGACAGATTGCAGGAGTGTGAATGCACTTGGGCTCTGAGGCCCCAGTCCTGACTCCTTCAAAGCCAAGGGCAAGTCCCCTCTCCTCGAGGTGACCGAAGAGATGACCCTGTACACGTGTTTGCAGACATGCTCCGAAAATGGAGAAATGATATTTTTGTGGCACAGGTTGCAAAACTAAACTTGTTTCTATTTCAAACCTTTTGCAAAACAATGAATTGAAAGTATTTGTTTGAGAGCCTTTTTTTACTTTTGATTTTTCAGGGTGTGTGTGTGTGTGGGAGGAGTGCAGGCGTGGGTGGGCATGGGTTAAACTCTGCTGGGTGCAGTGCACACCCTGAGCCCATGGGGCAGATGGAAGTTGTTCCCTGGATGATGCAGAGTCTGCCACTCAGTAGAATATGCTGAGTGTGTGCCAGCCCAGGGGCATTTCAGAGACACTCCCTGACTCCACAGAGCCCTGTGCTGGGGCATCTACATTCAGCGTGGTGCCCTATAACACAAAGGTTTTGTTCATGGAATTTCAAGACAGCAAAAGCTGCAGGAGGCTGAAACTGCTGCCTTGGTTCTGGTGCAAATCCAGGGCCTTGTTGGAGAAACGGTAAAAGAGGAACAGCTGTGGGTGGGAGCCCGGGGCCAGGTTTACACCCACATTGTCCAAGCACCTGCTCTTTTGATTGGCCAGGGCCCCTCTCTGAGGCCTTGTCTACACTTAAAAGGTTGCAGCTGTACTACTGTCATGCTTCAGCGAAGACACAACCCACCCCCACAGGAGAGCTACTCCGCTTCCCCAAGAGGCAGCAGCAACACTGAGGGGAGAATTTGCCTGTTGGCTACACTGGGGGTTATCTCGGTTTAACTGCCTTGTTCGGGGGGGGTGGATTTTCACACCTGTGAGAGATGTAGTTACACAAACCTAATTTCCTAGTGTAGACCAGGCCTCAGTGCTTTGTGACCCCTGTGTTACATTAGGGGAAACTGAGGCACGGTGTGCTGTGCCCCTTCCCCCCCGCCACGACCTTGCTCTGGATCTCATGGGAAGTTAGTGCAGGGAATTTGAACCCAGGCCTGGCAGTGGCAGAGCGAGGAGAAGGATCTGACTCCCAAGTCCTCCAAGCACCTGATGATGAAGCCTCTAAACAAAACAAATGCCTAGGACAAAAAATGGCCCTAGTTTAGTGTGAGGTGGCTCAATAGCCTGGGTGAGCATCACTCCTGTGCCCCAGGCAGGCATGACCTGTGCCCCACGTAGGGTCCGTCTACACAGCAACATTATTTCAAAATAGCGCTATGTTG